TCTGGGGTGGGAGAGCCCCCACCTCTCCAGGCAGCTGGTCCCACTCTTGTATTGCTCTGACAGTGAGGAAGCTTTTCCTGATGTCCGCCCTGAATCTGGGTTCAGGAATCAGTCATGAACCTAACCAGACGCTGGGATCAACCTCTGCAAACTTTCTGAGGGAGTCCTGGAAGGCAGCAGCAAAGGAGCAGGGCCTCCTCAGTGAAGGCCCCCCCCCTGGGTATAGAATGTTCTCCCCACAGACATCTGTTTGACTCCTAGGACAGCTATCGTTTTGACACCAGGCTACACCTTTCCTTGCAGACATTTGAGGGCATATGATGCCGTTTTTATTTTAAAACGCCCTAATATTTCTCTCTTGGCTAGCTAGACTAATCCAGAGGAAAAGAGGCTGGAAGGGCTTCAGCATAGCTCATACCCTGACCTTGCCGTCTCTTCCCCTCCCTGCCCAGGGAAGCATTCCTTTCCCCTGTCTCTGAAGACACGTCTTGATCTTGGAGAAAAGTGGGTGTGGTGGGGTGAAACCTGGACCTGGGGTGCCCCATAACATGGCCTCTCCCTACCCCATTGCCCAGCATTTAAGAGGCCCTTCACCAGAAGCAGTGTGGGTTTCTGCCAGAGAGCGGGACCACACGGCGTCTCCCCGCATTTCCACAAGTACCTTTTCAGCACAAGGCCCAGGAAGATGGGTTCCCTGAAAGGAGGCACAGTTCAGTCCTGATAGGGCTGGAAGAACTGTTACAAATCCGTGTAGAAAAATTCACTCTAACCATTTCACTGGGCCTGCATGATTTCTCGAAGAGAACAGATGGAGGTTTGGAGAGCTCTGATTTAATGCTTTTAGCATGTGGTGTCCCACTTGTAATGTTCGGCACGCAGTTCCATTGTTGGCCCCTGCCAGTTCTTATCAACACCAGAGCCCTGAGAAGGAAAGCTTTTTCTCAACCCACCTCCTTCTCCAGCCATTCCAGCGCTGAACATTTAATCCTGATCGATGCACAGCCAGCGTGTTTCAAATATGCACCGCAGCTGCTCCCCCACCCCATTCCTTTCTCCTTGCATCGGTTGTAGACCGGTGGATGGCTAGTTTTACTGTTTTATTAAATGCAACTTCTTCTGAGAACTGTTTTGCCCAAGGAGCTGGATAAATAAATACTCTACATAATGAAAGAACAGGGACTGATGGATGTGGGAAGATGTCCTTTTATTTTTAAATGGAATGTTTAGTGGTTAAGCATTTCCCAAATATTTTCAGGCTCAATCGCTGTGTGGATGGTGAGGGGTTTGTTTTCTGGCTGGCAGAAAGTGGGGAAAGAGGGGTGGAACCCATATTAGAATTCCCATTTCTAAGGTAATGGGGAATTTAGATGGCATGGTATATTCATTCACACGATTTCAGAAGAAATTTGAGAGGGCCAGGTTACCGAAAACATGCTTTAGAAATGTGTTCAAAATTGGTCCAGAAAAATTATTTTAGGAAGAGTTGAAGCGGAGCCCTGAAGTGAGTGGTAGAGAGAAATGTTTCAGAAGGAAGACATGATGATTAGTTATAGGAAAGCTTTAAACCTGAGCCAGACTGATCAAAAAGAGAGATCGTAACTGGGTAGCTTCTTTTTAAAATGAATACGAACTGTTCTTACTCCTGCTTGCGTTTGCGTTTTATTTTGTCCTATCTTCAATTTGATTTTTCCCCCTCTGTAACATACTTTTTTTAAAGAATCAACAACTGGGAGAGAAAGACAAGGAAGATGCTCTTTGGTGCTGGAAAAAAGAGATCGGAGGATGAAGGAAATGGGGTGGGATTGGATTGGAGAATTGGGACTGCGAGTGCAGAAAAGTGATCTTCAGGGCAATGAAGATGCTTTTTCAAGGGAGTTGCCCCCATTCCCACCCAGCTTCCCTCTGGTTGTGGGGCACTGCAGCTCCCACAGCTGGAGCTGTTGCGTGTTGTGGATGATCACACCTTGAGGACTAGGGAAGGCTGCCCTAAGGGAATGAGTCCAGGACGCGTTCAGTCCCACACACGAGAGCCAGTGTGGCGTGTCGGTTAGTGTGCGGGCTTCGGACTCAGGAGATGCGAGTTCTAGTCCCCACTCAGTCATGAAGCTCAGTGGGAGACTTTGGCCAATCACTTCCTCCCAGGCCAACCTACCTTGCAGGGCTGTTGTTGTGAGGATAAAACGGAGCTATGCAAACGGCCTCAGAAGCACCACAAAGTATCCACAAAAATATCTATCCCAGAGAAAGCCCCACTTAGTTCACTGGATTGGTAAGTATAGGACCTTCTGCAGCCTGCAGACAAATCCCGTCACTCTCAACCGAGCTTATACCTAAATAGACATGAATAGGATCACACTGTTAAATCTGTTTTTGTAGAGAGCAAAGGACTAGAACTCCAGTCCCAAGCTTGCCTCTTCAAGCTGCGTGTAAGAACTGGATGATGCAATCTGTACGTGATCCGAGGACCACCTCACTATCATTATGTTTAAAACTGAATGCAGGGTGTGTACTTGGTGTGATTACAGAAAAGTGATAAATGCTGTGATGCATCTCCAAGCCTGGCTAGAAGTAAGACCAAGCCCTGAAGCTATCAGGAAAATTTGATTTTATCAAGGCTATGCTTGAATTCTTCCCCTCCAATTCAAAGTATGTTTATTTAGTATGTGCGTGTTTAGACAACTGCAATTGCTTTGATTTTACTGCTGTGGGATCTTTCTCAAGAAGGGTCAGCATATGTGTATATATTTAAGTATTCATAAAAGGAACTCTGAATCACCCTTTGGCCCCCAAGTAACCTGGGTTCCAAAACCATTCAGAAATGCCACTGTGGCAAACAACAAAATGAAGATTTTCAAACAGAGAACAGAGTATAGTGCAAAACCATTTTAATGGCTTGCCTATGACATAAAAGTGTGCTTAATCCAGTTCTGTGCATAAGTGTGCATAGAAATGCAATTTCCCTTTCTAAGGAAAAACACAAACTCTCTGCTAAGCTGCTTTTCCCTGGAATTCATCATGTGCAAGGATAGAAATGCACTCTGCACTTACCCAGAGACACTTTTCTGTGTTGACAGGTTACTAGATCTGTGCTGTTGCACCAGATCCAGTTCTCCCAGGTAAGAACAACACTATGGGGAATAAACATTGGGCCACATACAATGTTCAGAAGAAGCAGCTTCTGAGGGTGCAGAATTTCTAGGTTGCTTCTCAGAAGGATGGAAGAAAAAGTTTACAGATGAACTCAGGAAGGGTTCATCGAAGAAGAAAGCACCGAAATTCTGCCCACAGGTTCTGTGGCAGCTTTTTCCAGCTTTGCATCTCTCATGCAAAACCCTGCAGCTCAGAATGCAAAAGGGAAATCACAGAGAGGAAACCAGATCACTTCTTGCACAGTATTTAGCGGGACCAGCAATCACATCAAAACACCACAGAGAAAAAAGAAACATGAGTGCTACCAATTCCTAAAATGAATCAAATGCCTGAAGCCCACTTCCTCCAAGACCCTGGATGAGTTAAGGGCCAGCTGTGATCACTCAGTTTAATATGTAAGGCATATGAGGTCACAGGGAACACAGCTCTGAATCACAAGTTAAGAAGCCATAAAGCATATTATGCCTTTGCAATGCGTGTCAGATCTTCCCCATCAAGTTCGAGGGAAGGCAGTTGCAGCAAACAGAGCAGGCAGTTCACTTCCCTTTTATTCCTGCTTTTGGAATTCCAAGGATGGAAAGAACCCACTTTTTTTAGTTACCTGAGCCAGCCGCTGTGAATAGATAGCCCTCAATGGTACCTTGGCCTGATCCAGCTTCCTCCAGCCAGGTACTGTCCAGATGCTTTGGACTACAGAGCCTATATCCTCTGTCATTGGAAACAGCCATGTGGAATCGGGGGGCGGGGGGGGGACAGTCCAGCTGGAGTCCTCCAGGAAGCAAAGAGCAACAGGCAAATACAGGAGTTTAATCCAGCTCTCGCTGCAAAATCCATCTGGATTCTACAGCGTCTTACTTCTGGGAACCCGTGTGGTGTGGTGGTTAAGGGCGCGGGTCTGGGACTCAGGCGGTCCGGGTTCTAGTCTCTGCTTGGCCATGGAGCCCACTGGGGGACTCTGGGTTCTCGACCCAGCCTACCTCACAGGGCTGCTGTGGGGAATAAGATTGAGCACAGGAGAAGATAATGGTGTAAGCCGTTTTGAGTTCATTGTATGAAAAGAGGCGGCATATAACTCAAATAAATCAATAAATCAACCCTAAGACCCCTTGAAAACTGGAACTACAGACCAGAGTATATAGGTTAGAAAATACACTTTCCAGGACGGTTTGGTGAGTCTCTTTTTTACAGCATAGGAAGCAGAAATTCAAGACAGAAATAACAATTAGAAGAAGAACAGACCAGTGGCATGCTAAGTTTGGGGCCTTTTTAAAAAAGGAAGAAGTCAAAAGTCAATGAATGAGCGTAATGAAAAGTCAATGAAAAGTCAATGAATGAGCGTAAAGCAGAGACACTTCTGGGAGGTGGGTTCCCATTTATGATCTGGTCACACCTTGAAAAGTTGCTTTGTTGTTCTTTGCCTTTTGACCACAGGTAAGGTAATTCCAACTTTAGCTGTACCTTTGCTGACTGGGTCTCTTTAAAGTCCCCTCCGCACAAGGGGACTGTTCTAGGTTTATTCTGAAAATAATAATCTGGGAGTTGACAGACAGAAAGAAACTTTTCCTCCTCCCCTTCTGTTTGTTTTCCTTTTGTCTTTCAGCCCCACACTCTCTGCCTTCTTTTCTTTTTTCCTACCTTCCATCTCGTTCCCTTCTGATTTCATTGTGCTGAAGCAGCAAATATTTCATTTTGAAAATTGCATTAAAGGATGGATTTCTGCCCATTGGGCATTTCAAATAAACCCCTTGCTAAATTTATTGTAAATATAGCTTTGCAAAAAATAATAAAATTAAAAAAATAAATTAAATTATTTTTTTTAATAAACAGAAAATGACATTGGCCACACGTACCTCTCAGCTGGATTCGGAAAAGCCGTCAGGTTGTGTTTCCGAGGCAGTGCTGTTGCTGCTGCCTCTTCCACTGGTTCAAAAAGGAGCGAGAAGAGACACTTGAGAAAAGCGGAGGGTGGGAAGGAAGGAGGAAGGAGGGGCCCAGAGAAGGAAGGCTGGTTTGTTTTTAAGCTGCTGTCTCATCTCGCCTCCCCCTGCAAAGAAAGGATTGCAGGAATGCAGGAAAAGGAAGAACTTTGGGAATGGTGACTTATAGGAGAGGCTTATCTGGGATGCCCGGGTGAGGATGCACCCCCACCCACTTCGAAGCCCTGGGACCGGATTTGAGGATGGGGCTCAGGAAATGAATCATGGGCAGGCTCGCTAAAGAAGGAGTGAGAAAGTGACGTACCCGTGGCTGAGAGACCGTGGAATGTGCCTCCATCCAGAGGGTCCCACCACCCCCGCCATGGCTCAGGCATTTTTTGGTGGGTGGTGCTGGGAAAGGACCCATCGGAAGATTCCCAAGCCCCCCCCCCATGTGGAGGACCCCTGGCTGGCCCAGCCATGCAGGGTCCGGCACTTTGACCCACCTCGGGCTACCTGGACTAAAGCCTTTTTTTCAAAGGCTCAGCCCTGGGACTGTGTGTAGACAAAAGCCCACCACTGTCCAGGAACTGGTTCACAATGAACCATGGCTACCCTAGGGGATGCCACAGCAAAACCACCTTGTCTCACCCTGGCTGTACCTAACCGTAGCCCTTCGGGGGAGACGACTTAACGATGCTAAGAGTTCTCTCCCTTTTGCATTCGTCCCTGGGAATCTTAACGGCTGGCTGTCAAAACTTCAAACCATTTAAAAAGGGTGTTTTGACAGTATTCTCATTTTTGTTTGCCTTTTCACAGAGACATAAGCATCCGAGTCTATGTCCCTGTGGAAAAAATGAGGAGAGTTATGAAAAGAGGGGAGGACTTTTAAAAGGGGATTTGAGGAAAAGTGAGAGTGCCCTTAAGGCCATCCGATCACAATGCAAAAACGAGGATCTTGCTGGGAAAGGGATCAAACCAAGCCAAAAGTGGGGTGGGGGGGGGCTGTTTGGAGCCCTTCCAGGTCAAGGTCCAGGTTTGGTACAAACTGGATGTTGCTCAGGTGAACCAGGCTCTTTCCTCACCTGCAGAAGGAAACAGGTGTGTGCTTGTGAAAGACCAAAAAGAATTTAACAAGAATGTGCGTGGAAGGGGTCCGAAGCACTGATCTGAACCCATGGACAGTCCACTCCAAGGTGCTGCTTGGACACTTTGTGGGGGCTGGCGGTGCTTGTGAAAACAGGGATTATGGAAATCCGCTATTCAGCTAGAAATAGGATCTTGGTGGTGGGGGTTAAGGATGAAAGTGCTGTAGCGAACCAAAGGAGCTAATGACTGTGATCGTGGACCTCTGCCGAGGTCAGGTGCCCCACTGGGGACTGGTGGGGCAGCTGACCCTGACCTAGACAAACTTGGTGAAAATGGCAAGCTGGGGAGTCTTCCGCTTCCCGGTACCCGTGATGGGCTTGGCCACGTGGGTTTAAATGGGGTTAACAGCCCAGAAGGCTTATAAAATGTCAATTTTTGAAAAATTCAGAAGAACAGCAAATTGACAAGTGCCTAATACAGACAGCAGCTTTTTGTTATTAAGTATCAATTAAAATCAATTAAGTGTCAATTAAATAAGATCTGTGGACAGGGAAATGAGAAAAGAGAGCCAGTGAAGCCGCTCTAGTAGATTCAAATGGGCTGGGCTCACTAGGAACCAAGAAATGGGATTTAATCAAGATGCAGCAGAATGTCCTTCTCCAGCATGGGTGTCGATCAGAACAATGCCTACCACCCTGAAGCAGCATGTCCATTCTAGCCGGGGATGATCAGGGTTGTAGTTGAGAAGGCTAGAGAGCAACCAATGACATCAATGAGGCTTTGATTAGTTGTGATGAACTTATATCCTTGTTTTCAGTGGGCCTACTTTAAGTTGGGTCAGACACGACTTCGTGGCTAACAACAACTTTAAGTTTGACTGGGTATACATCTCTCTTTTACTCCTGAAAAGCCCCTGAAAAGCCCCACAAAGAAAATCAACTTCTGAGCCAGGACTTAAAGCCTACCAAACATTGTGGTCAGGAAGCAACCAGAGACAATACCCACGAAAATTACGTGGTAAGTCCAAGTGTTTTTCTCCTGCCGGCTACAGCTTCAAGGAACACTTCCAACCAGCACCAACAAACGAACCGACTTCCTCATAACTCCAGACGATGCTGCAATGATGCACGTGAAACAAAGGAAGACTCTTTTAGGGTCCCCTGTGGTTAATGCTTCCACCTACAAATGGCATTCCTTCTCATCTGAGCTCAGCTGGTCAGGATTACGAAACAAGGTCCAAGACCAGGCAAGCCCAAGGTCCAAACACAGGGAGCCCAGGACAGAGTGAGGTGACCGGGGAAAATGCGGCACTGTGCCAGACTTGAGCTCAGAGGAGGAAAGCCAAGACTTCAGAGCTCCACCCAAGCTGCAGCTGCAGACCATCACCACTTCCTGGAGAAAATTTAGTCTTTTACAACAGGGCTGGTAGAAAGACTTGGCTCCGCTTCACTTATCTCTCTCAGTGCTGGCAGGGTCAGATGAGAGAATTGGGGGAAGGGCCTTCAAGGAGCTGAAGATCCGATGGGGCTTTGAGGTGGGAAGCCAGAACCACATGCGGGACTTGGTACTCCTTGGGGAAACGTTGGAACGTTGTTCTGGGATGCCACCAAGTCATCTCTGATTTATGGCAACTGTACAGAGCACCCCACCACCCCCAAACTGTCCTTCCTTGCAGCTCTTGTCAACTCAAGGCTTCCTTTTTGGAGTCTATCCATGATTGATTTGGTCTTTTTCTGCCTTCAACTTTCCCTGGCAGGATTGTCTCTTCCAGGGAGTCTTGTCTTCTCGTGATGAGCCCAGGGCATGTTCTGGCTTGATTTGATCTGGGACCCCCTTGCTTGTCTTTCTGCTGATCCAGAATATCTGCAAAGCTCTCCTCCAGCTTTGAAGCATCCATTTTCTTCCTGTCTTCTTTCTCCTTTGTCCAGCTTTCACACCCACACAAAGTGATCAGGAATACAATTGTGCGGGTGCTCTTGGCCCTGGTCCCCCATGAGATGTCCTTGCTCTGAGGGATCTTTTCCAGCTCCTTCGCTGATGCCCCTTCCAAATTGCGGCCGTCTATTAATTTCCTGGCTGCATTCTGCCTTTGAATGGATGACCCAGCCAAGGGACGCCAAATCTTTCACAATTTCAATGTCCTCATTGTTGAAAGTTGTGTAAATAACGTTGTGTAATTCTTCCATGGTGGTGATGTTTGTTTTGTGCAGGCATATGTCTGCACTTTCTTCTGTTACTTTCACCAGAAGACATTTCAATGCACTACTGCTGCTTTCTGGAAACATCTGCCGCAGAAGGGCCGCCACCTCCCCGTCACACCAACAAGCTCACGTGGTTGCCCTCCCTGGCCAGATGAAAAGGCTTCGGCCATCTCTCTCGCAGAAGCAGCGGGACCAAGCTGCTAGCTTTTTAGCTCCAGGACAAACGGTGCATGTAACCGCTCCCAGTCTGGATGTCTCTCCCCTTCAAACCCACCAGAAGTCAGAACTTAAATTCAGAAAACCCCTCACAGCTCTGCCATCAGCACCTGCACTTTCTTTCTCACACACGATCAGCCAGAGGGAATTTGAGACCACCAGAATGCCAGGGATGCATTCAGTGCTCCCACGATCTTGGAATGATAGGGACCCTGCTAAATGTGGGGCCATGTGAGAAGGTGGGAAAGGGACCCATAAGTAACACAGGGGCTGTCCCAGGAAAACGGCCTGAGGGAACTTGTGGGAAGGTGTTCATTTGTATCGGCCCAGCAGCTGATCAACAAAGCTTTAATTGCATGCCCTCGCTGTGGGGACTGTGTTTGAAATGCTTTTTGCTGCGGCAGAAAAGGGTGTTTCCCAGCGCTGGGTCGCTTTGCTGACTGTTATCAACAGCTTTGCTGTATTTGCATCAACTTTCCCTTCCGATTTGCATTTGTACTAGCTTTTGCTTCAGTTCCGACTGCAAGCCGAAGCCAAAATGGGTTGCCCTTGCATAGCAAGCTGCTTGGGACAGACACTGGAAGGAGCAGCTCCTTCCATAGGAATTGGACTGCCTGTTCTATTCAGCACCAGAGACCCTGCAAGGAGCCTCAATGCAACAGCATTTTCAGTTAGGACCCAAGCCAGCAGGGCTGCTCCTAGTGTGACCATCACAATACGGAGCTGTCTGGAGCAAGACCTTTCCCAAGCTGCAGGCCAGCAACAAACACATTCTTCTTTGTCTAAAACTTTAGTGTGGAAACCGTTCTTGTCACCTCGTTTCCCTACTGAACTGCACTTACTTGCATTGCTCATGGAAATGGGTTTTAGTAACTTGAAGTATTTTGATGTTCCCTCTATGTGCTATAAGTCACTGGGTTTATTTTATAAAAATAGGAACTACGGCAAGATTAGATGATCTGCATCTGATAGCTCAGGTTTTTGTCTTCAAAAGAGAGTCAACTATGAATCTCTTCCAACAGACCTTCCCAGATTAACTTTCTTTAATATGCTTGGTTTTAGTCAAATTTAAATCATTTTGGTTTTGAGCACTTGTAAGCCACCCAGGACCTATGGGAACGGAAAGGACTCACTTTCTAAACAAATGGTCATGATGTGGTCTAGAATGATCAATGAGATGATGTGAGATAAACCAAAGAGCACAGAGAGAAATAAGCATTTTAACCACTGAATTCAAGTGGATGCATGACATTTGGACATTCACAGCAATGCTGGAGAAAGCGGGAGTTGGGTAGCTTAAAAACAAGATGGAGTGGGTTAAAGTAGGGTCATTCCACCAGTCCTGATGGAAGTTCTCCCCCAGGAAGACACATCATCCCACCGTGGTCACCACCACCACTGCTCTTTCCAGCCAATGGGGGTGGAAGCCCTGCTGATTTTTACTTCTTCCCTCCTCTTCTCCTTTCCTTGTGTGCTATGCCTTTCCAGATGGTATGTGCACAAGCAATTACCAATTGTGTTACATTTCTAGGGACTGGATCTGAATTTACCACACTGGTGGATGTGGACTTCTCTGCCTGTTCTTCCTACTGCAGTCCCTGAAGTGCTACTCTAGAGTAAGGCCCTGCTGAATGGATGGTATGTGCTGTGCGTGAAGCAGAGCCCCAGATTGGGCGGGGGACATCCACAAGCAGGTCCCTTGCTCTTGCAAAAGACAGAGTTTGGATCGAACCCAAGAAGTGGTGCCAGGAGAACTCAGGCTTACGGGAACTAATTGGGAACATCTTCTGCCTCCCATTACATCATCAGTGCTTTAAATTTTTTAAATATCAAAACTCAGTGCGAATTACATTTGGAACCCAGTTCCAGGAAATCCATTAAGCCATTATGAAGACGACAGACCTATTTGTCTGTTTATTAAGAGGAGCCTATGGGTCTCTGTTGCTATATTCCACCCAGCAACCAACCAATGAATCCAAGACTCGTTCATCTGAACCAGGGTGGACACCAGCTCTGAATCTGCCGCAGCAGCACACAACGGGACACCAAACGAAGCTCCGAGTCCACACAAAATCTCCACTCCCATCAAGATAAACCCCCCAAGACTAGGCAGGCAATGGAGAACCATCTGCCTCTTCCATTTTGTGTTGTAAGCCGCCCCGAGGCTTCGGCAAGGGGCGGCATAGAAATGTAATAATAATAATAATAATAATAATAATAATAATAATAATAATAATTTTCACCTGGTTCACCCCTGCAGGCCAGAGTGAGTGCTGGATGGGGTGAACCTTGTGTTCCAATCTAGCCATTGAGGCTGGAATGCCACCTACGGGGGGAGGGGGCTCCCCAAGCTGCCAGGGAGGAAATCAGAGAATCGCTGGATTCTTAATGCGCACTCCACTCCCCAGTGGAAGAGAGGCCAACACGGTTAGGCAACGCTGGACTAAAGAGGTCACTGCAGCTTCTGTGCGTGGCAGTTCTGGGCCTTCCGGGACAGCATGTATGCCTAGTCCCCCAGCTGCCTCCAAGCAGCTCAGTCAGGGCAAAAGAATATGGCTCAGAGGTTCCACTATGCTGCCAGGTCAGCCGCTCCTTGTAATCCTCACTCTCCAGAAGAATATAATGCGACGGAGGATGCTGGATCAGACCAAGGTGAGCCCACTGTGCCAAGGAGCTTAGTTTCGACTCCAGCCAGTTTTCCACTGGAGGAAGCCTGCCTCTGGGGCAGCAGGGAGCTTACCCCCATTTCTGCTCAGTGCCTTGGTAACCCCGTCACCTCTGGTATTCAGTGACCGCTGCCTCCCAACACGAACAGCCGCTGAAAGAACCCCACTGAAGGCTGAATCCTGGCAAGATGGAGGCTCTGCGGGGTGTGGATCTGGGGACTGACAGTTGGTGGTCCTGGATGCGACACTGCTTCCCCTGGAAACATGGGGGGCTTTAAGGGCCAGGGCTGCCTCACCCCAAAAGGGGGGGGTCAACTCTGAGCCCCACACACTGGCAACCTCAGCTGCGCACCCCTGTGCCAAGGGCTGCGCATGGGCGGTGGGACTCTAGGCAGATGAACAGGGCACGAGGCCGGGCAGAGTCCACACAGAGCAAAGCTCAGTAACGCAGAGAGAAGCAGGGTGGTAGTCAATAGAAACGAAGCACAGAAACAGAGCAAGCCGGAAGGGGCTCCCGGGCCATCGAGTCTGGGTCTCCCGTGCTCAGGGAAAGTGTCTCCTGGCTGCGCTCCCGATTTCAGAATCTGGTCTGTGCGGGCCAGGAGTAGAGTCTTCCACAGAGCAGCTCCGGCCCGCCAGAACTTCCTGCCTGCCTCTGCAAATCAGGTAGGCACCAACTTTTCTGGGTTTACAGAAAAGCACACCTCTTCTGACGGGCATTCCCAGGAAGGAGACGTGGTCTTCTGGACAGAAGGGCTGATGACCATCCCTCGCTGGGTTCTGCGGAGAATTTCTACGGATGCAACCATCGCCTAACTCACATCCACCAGTAAATCGACCCCGCTAACCAACGTGCGCCATCGCCTTTCCCCCCTGCTGCCTACTCTTGCCTCCCATGCCAGTTCACGAGACACCAAGTGGCCTCAGCAATATAAATTTTATTACAAACAGGATGCCTTTGCCAGGAGAAAGTCACCCAGATTAATACATTCTTAAGAAACAGTTATAAAAGCGTATTCAAGAGCCCCAATGAGCAGGTGGGAAAACAGCACCATCTGGTGTCTGGAAGATGAACTATGTCCCCCCTCCCCGTGCATTTGGAACCGGAGAAGCTGCTGCGAGGGGTTCGGTTGGGACCACAGAGCGAGCGTTCGTATGGCAAGAAATGGGTCCCACTAGCAAGTAACCTGAGGAATCCAGATGCCGGGTGTGAGAAAGGCAGTCCTCTCTGCGCAGCTGCCCTCTTAGTTTGGTCCAAGGCTGCTGGCACCGATCCGCGATCTCCTCCCTACCAGTGCCGGCGCCTAGCGAATCCTGCCCTCTCCACATCACCGCCGGTAGCGGTAGCGCTTGAAGTGGAACCAGAGTTGGAAGATGCCGTTGGCGAACTGGCAGCGGAATCCGTGGCGGTGGGAATACTCCCATTCGCGGTTGACGATCTTGAAGGCGATGTCCTCGTACGGTGGGCCGGCGTGGAAGCGCAGGGTGGCGAAGTCCTTGTTGTCCGGACAGGCCTCCAAGAAGTACTCGGGTGTGGAGCGCTTGTCGATCAGATCTGGGTAGAAGATGTTGAACTTGTAGCCCTGCACGATCTTGGGCGGGGGATTGTCGAAGTCGTAGTGGGTCTGGTTGTATTTGTTCCACTCGAAGCCCGTGTGGACCCGGTTGAAGAAGCGCGGCTTGCGAGGGCGGTACTTGTCGGCCCAGAGGTAGGCCTTGCCGGTCAGGGGCATCTCCACGCTGAACTGCGCCTCGTCTGCCCCCATGCCCTCCTTGGCGCGGCGGAAGAAAATGTCCTCGGCGCTCTCGCTGGCATCACCTGAGCGGAGGGAGGAAAGAGGGCATCGGGCTGCTGCTGGCAGCAACCTGGAGAACAGCTAAACTCCCTGATAAAGACTTACACACTCGGGAGGTAGCTCTCCAGAGATTCGTCCACAGCTGACTTTATATTCCTTTTTTATAAACTTTTTTATTTATCCACTACTTTAAGAACTAGGAATTTTAATTGGCTTTTAATACTCACAGACACATTTTGATCCATCCATCCATCCAAAACATTTGTATGTTCACTATTGCATCTCAGGACAGCTTATCAGATTAAAACCAATAATCATAAAAACAATCAATAAAACAGTACAATAAAATTACCAAAACCCAATACAAATGACTCAAATCAGAACAAAAGTGACTGTGAATCACTAAAAATGCTAATTTTTGAAATAACACTTAAATAAAAAGGTTTTAACCTGGCGCCAAAAAGAATATAGGCTCAGTGCCAGGTGAACCTCCCTGGGGAGCATATTCCATAGTCTGGGTGTCACCGCAGAGAAGGCCCTACTCCGAGTAGAGGTCCTTTTTACTTCCTTTTGGGAGGGTTCCCGGAGCAGACCCTCCCCGGCCGATCTTAGGGGGCATATAAGGAAGGAGACGTTCCTTCACGTATCCTGGTCCGAAGCCATTTAGGGCTTTATAGGTCAAAACCAGCACCATGAATACTGTTGGTATTATGTTTTTGTTGTTTATTGTTGTTATTCGCTGCTTTGTTTATTGATTGTTATAGTTCTTGTAAGATGTCCTGGGACTATTTTCGTACGGGATGGAATATTTTAGATAGATAGATAAATAGATA